ACAAAGCTGATTCCCACCTTGGGGTCTTAGGCCCTGAGGGTTGCAAAGGCAGGAATGGGGGCTCTCAAGAATTGTGGAAACACTCCAACAGAACACAAATATTTCCCCACTCTCGAGCCCTAGAAGCTAACTCGAAGCCTTGGCAGCATTTGTCTGCAATCAGAAGCTCGGCTTGACTTAATTTAATATGGGAAAATTAATTATACTTCAAGAATTGAGGCTTGTTTTGGGGGAAAATCTCCCAACCTCTAGGATTCTCAGGGTGAAAATAATAAGAGGGGGCGCTGGGAATCATTTGGGTCCATTCCAGCTATTTATAACTGGTTTGGAAAACCAAGGGGTTCCAGGCTCTGTTTATGAGGCCCCTCCCAATTTGGTGGTTTAGCTCAGTAGAGACAGGCCTGGTTTGGACTCTGGGATTCGGGGGAGAGGGAGATAGAGGAATGTCCTTGTCCCACCTGGTGCCTGTCTCACCCCCTTTTGTCAGGCCACCCTCCACTCTGGGATTATTGCAGGTGCCCCCTGCCCCTTCAGCCTGGCCTGGGAGTGCCCTTACGACGATTGTGCATAGAATAAAGGCCAGGACTGCTGGGGAGAGGGCTGTCCCCTCCTTGCAGTGAGAAGGGAAGGGTGAAGGAGGCCAGGCACCTCCTGAGGACCAGAGGACCACCTCCTCCCCCTGGGGAGCTTTCTACCTCCAGGAACCAGGCTGTCTGAGACTGGGCCTTCTTGTCTGACTTGCACAATTTCATGCTTTTCTTCCCTTTGCCTGTACCTGCCTGCAGCAACCAAAAACCCAGGAATGACCTAGCTCCTCCCCATACAGAATGGCAGGTAGCCCCTTTTCCCTCCAGCCCAGGGTCTCAGAAGCCTCTCAGGTTGGGAAGCGGGTATTCAGGCCCCATCCCCACTGCTGCCAACATGGCTTGGCACTCACTCAGTCCCTTTCATTGAGACATCACAAAGCACTTCAGTACAGAAATTGATAGCACCCTGCCCCCCCGCCCCCATCTCCAGCTTTATCTGGGAGACAGGTGCCAAAGGGTGGCAGGGGCCAGCAAAGAATGGGGGCTGTTGAGTTCTGTCTTTCAGTCCTCATCCTGTACCTGGACCCTTCCCCCCACTCAATGCAGGTTCCTCCTAGCCAGGGACCCCCAAACTAGTGAAGACCCAGCACCTAAACTAGCGCCCTCAGGCACCGGAGGGGCCTGGAGCCCTTATCAGATGGCGGTTTCCAAATCAGGGACCCTGGGACACCCAGACCTCCTTCCCTTTTCAACTGAGAGGGTAGTGGGGCCAGTTCTCAGGTGGCCAGGTGGTGGGGGTTTAGAGTCGCTGAGGGAGCCAGGGCCTCTGTCCCTGACTTCCCCCAGAGGGTTGTCCAGACTCTGCCAGGCTTCCGTGAACCTTCTCATCCTGAACCAGAGGTGTCAAACTGGTGGCTCAAGGCCCACATGAAAGTGTTTCGTTTGGGCAGCGGGGGTGGGGGGG